GGGGGGGGTGGTGACAGGCAATCTGAGTCCCCACAGCCACACAGGCAGCGGTGACAGGTCACTTCCACGCGATGGCAGTGCCACCCCGTGCCACCAGCTCCCCCTTTACCTGGAAGCCCAGGAGATTTGGGGGCAGCAGACGGAGCAGCTCCAGGATTTTGCGGTGCAGCTCGTCCTGGCTGAGCACGATGTCAGAGGGTCTGACGGACTCTCTCAGGAAGGGCAGCACCTCCACCAGCAAAGCATGGATGGCACAAGCTGCCAGGAAAGCAGTGTCACCCATCCCCTGGTGTCACCAATTGCTGGTGTCACCAATCCCCCCCCAGTGTCACCAATCCCCCCCATTTCACTCCTCACCTCCCACCGCCTCGCTGGCGAAGACAGGCAGGATGGCAGCGCTGTAGTGGTTCAGCTCCCTCAGAGCCTCTGCTGAGTCCTTGGGGACCACCAGGATGTCACCAATGTTGGTGACACTGTAGAAGGTGAGGTGGCTTTTGAGCAAGGTGACACTATGCTGCACCAAGACACGGAGCTGCCCCGAGAAACAGACATCGTGCCGGCGTAGCAGGATCTCCTCCAGCAGCCAGGAGAAATCCAACATCAGCCGGGAGAAGAAGACACCCTGGAGGAAGAGGAGGATGAAGAGGTGGTTGGGGATGAACTCTGGAAAATTTTGCTCTATAAAAGGAACAAAAAACCAACAACCTGGAAACTTCCTGGTCTCACCTCCCAGTGCTTGTGCAGCAGCAGCGCAGATGTGATCCCCACAGCCGTGATGGCAGAGCAGGCAACGCCGTCTGCCAGGGAGAGACACTCATTAGCCCTGGGGGGAGTCACCCCCCAACCCAAACCCAGGGGGTAGAGATGGTGGTGACACCCCACAGGATGTCACCACACCCCAGTGGGTGCTGGGGTGCTTTTTTCCCTGGGGTTATTCATGTTCTTCATTCCCAAATGGGGAATTTTCCATTTCCAGCCATCCCTTGTGCCGGTGGCATCACCACCGCGTGCCAAAGGAACCGGTAACGGCACAGTGGGAGCACGGAGAGGCCGTCACGGGGGGTGACCGTGGCAGGACGGGGGGGAACATGGTGGATCCACAGCCCTGCATGGATGGGGATACAGTTGGAGGACAGATCCCACTGCCCCAGCAGATCCCTCACCGCTCAGGCAGTGCAGGCCCAGCTTGGTCACCAACATTTCCTCTTCAGCCTCGACGTTGGTGGTTGTTGTGGTGCCAGGACTCCAAATTTCTCCCTTTTTACCTTCCAAGCTGGAGAAAATGGGGTGAGAGGGGTGAGAAAGTGGGGCTGGGAGCAGATGTTGGTGGTGAGACACTGGCCTGAGGCTCAGCTCCTGCATACCACGTGCCGAGGATGGTGGGCAGCAGCATCAGCTCCTCTGGTGGCTCCTCTGAGCAGCTTTTCCTGATGAAGTTTTTGGCTGCAAATTCCTGGGAAAGAGGAAAAAGGATCTTGTGGGTGCTCAAAGCTCACGGTGCCAACCAGCTGGTGGGATCCCTGCGGTGGGTTTAGCCCGGGCCCCATGCAGCCGCTCGCTCGCTCTCCCGCCGTGGGATGGGGGGAGGAATCAGGAGGGTAAAAGTGAAGAAAATTAGTGATAAAAACGATTTAATAATTGAAATAAAATTAAGATTATTAATATATTAAGATTAATATGTTAATAATTAAAATAATTATTAACAATTATTTTAATAATGGAAATATAATTAAGATTATTACTTGAAATAAATTACTTGAAATAAATTAATTGAAATAAAATCTTAATTAAAATTAAGATTAAGAATTGAAATAAATTTAAGATTATTAATCTATCTATTAATAGATGAATAATGGAATATACACGTTGAGTGGTGCACAGTGGGATTGCTCACCACCCGCTGACCGATGCCCAGCGTGTCCCCAGCCAGTGATCCTGGAGCTGAGTCCCAAAATTGAAACCACAATCCCAGAAAAGTGAGAGCTCAAATGATCCAGGAGAATCCCCCAGAGCTTTCCAGTCACCCCTCATTCATGTCACATCACCTGAGCTGGAACATCCCCCTGGCAGAGCTAAATTCCAATGTGGGATTTGCTAATTAGGACATTTCCCTTCCTCCCAGTCCTTGTGCAGACCAGTACAACTGTGCAGACCAGTTCAAAGTCCTTGAACTTCTCCCAGCAAACACCAGTACATTATTATCAGTGTTCTCACACCAAATCCCAGTTGTTGTTCCCAGTTACTAAAAATAAAATTAGTTCTGTCCCAGCTGAAAACCAGGACAAGGTTGCCCAAGGAAGTTGTGGATGTCCCCTCCCTGGAAGTGTTCTCGGCCAGGTTGGGTGAGGCTTTGAGCAACCTGGTCTAGTGGAAGGTGTCCCTGCTGCTGGCAGGGGGGTTGGGACTGGATGAGCTTTAAGGTCCCTTCCAACCCAAACCATTCCATGATTCTATGACAATCCCTTGGGATCCAGGACCTACGAGTGCTGCCCCATTGTCCCACTCACCCCTGAAGGTGGGCTCACCAGATCCTCTGGAGAACACCAGATCCCCTCCAGCCACCCCAAACCCACCTCATCCCACCCGCTGAGGTTTGTGGAGATGCCACCATCACAAAAATAAACCCTCGAAGGTTGGGATGGATCCAACCAGCAGCCCCAGTTGGAGACCCCAGTGTCATACCTGGAAGGAGAAGGGTTGGCCAAAGTCCACCCGGGCGCAGCCGAAGTTCTGGCGCAGGGCTCGGCACGCTGCCCACAGGCAGGAGCCAAGGCTGAGGGGCTGAGTGTCACACTGGGAGAAGAGGGGAACCAAACCATTAATGGGGTGACAGGAGACAAGCACCCGGTGATTTGGGTGCTGCACCCACAGCCCAACCCCTCTCACCACTCCTTGCTGGTGCAAACCACCGGGGAACACGTCGTAGGCGACGCCGACGGGGACCAGGAGGACGTCGGGGATGGGACCAGGAGGACGTCGGGGACGGAGCCATCCTGCACCGCTCGGGAGACCAGGGTCAGCCACTCCCGGGCAGAGGCAGAGAGACACATGGGGATGGGGGGCTCCTCCAGGAAGATCAGCAGTGGCTGGTGGCTCCTCAGCAGCTCCTCGATGTACTGGTGGGGGAGATGGGATGAGGTCAGGGGGTGCTGGTGGCAAGTGTGGGAGCTGCTGGCATCCATCGTGTTGCCCAACGTGTTGCTTGTGGTCAAGACACCCCCTGATGCCTTCACTGAGCCATTTTGGAGCTTGGGGAGATGTTTCATCCCTCAGACTGGACCTACTTTGGCCAGGACACCCCTTGATGCCTTCACCAAGCCATTTTGGAGCTCGGGGAGATGTTTCATCCCCCCTGACCTGACCTACCATGGCCAGACACCCCTTGATGCCTTCACCAAGCCATTTTGGAGCTTGGGGAGATGTTTCATCCCTCCTGACTGGACCTACCGTGGCCAGGACAGCCCTCAGGAGCTCTTCATCCTGCTCACTCGGTCTCTGCTCCATCCTCAAAGGCAGGAAAATCCCTCCCAGGTGGCTGAGCAGGGCTCTGCGGGGCAAAGAGGACACCACAGACACCCACCATCCATGGGGACACATCCCACCCTGTTCCCCCACACCAGCTTGGGGGCTTTGCAAGGGCAATTCCCCCTTCCCCGTGGCTGGATCAGGCCTGGGTGGGTGGTGGCCGTGCCTTACCGGAGGCGAGGGCTGCAGAGCTGGTTGCCCACCATCACCCTGGGTACCCCCAACCCTTGGGAGAAGAGGAGGAAGGACAGGAGCAGCCCATCCAGTTGGGATTTGTGAGTGGAGAGGAAAACCAGTGGGACATCAGCCTGGAAGGAGAGCGGTCAGGGCTCAGCACCTGCTGAGATGTGGGGTTGAGGGGGGGTGGTTGGGGTCCCTACCATCTTGGTGGCCTTCAGCACCATCTCCACCTGCCCTTGGTGGAGCTGCAGGTTGAGGAAGAAGCAGTTCAGCAACTTGAGCAGAACCCAGTGACACAACCTGTAGGGA